TCTCTGTTTGACAGTGGCGAGTAAAGGCTCCTGGTAGCGCACAAAACTTTCAACCCTTTTCAACACAAACATCATTGGTTTTATGTTCCCAATGAAAAGTTAAAACTTGATAAAATCTGTCGTCATTTATTTACTGCATAGCGAAACTAGTATTAGAAAATTCTACTTGGTAATTTCTAGTTAATTATTATTATTACTATTATTATTATTATTATTATTATTATTATTATTATTCTCTTTGCGTAGGTGTTAATAATTATTGATTCTATGTATAATGCTAATGATTTCTTTTTCTAAGTCAGTGTCTCATCATCATCATCATCAGCAGCAGCATCATCATCATCTCCTTGACTTTTGTAATCGTACGGGGGAGGATCTGAATGTAGAAGCCACATTGAATCTCCTCCCCAACGGTCTATCAACAGCAGACATCAGAAATTCTGGTATAGACATACTTGTCCATTGTCTGACATTGTCCAATCAGATTTTTGTGTTGGCGCTCTCTTCTACGTCTACATTCAACGGTGACTTCCATGAAGCTCTTGCACAGGCTGTCATGCCTTGTAACGTGTCCAAACCAAGCCATTTTTCTCCGTTTGACAGTGGCGAGAAGAGGTTCCTGGTGGTCCACAAAACTTTCAACCCTTTTCCGCACAAATATCATTGATTTTATGTTCCCAATAAAAAGTTAAAACTTAATAAAATATGTCGTCACTTATTGACTGCATAGCAAAACTAGTATTAAAAAATTCTACTTGGTAATTTCTAGTTAATTATTATTATTACTAATATTCTCTTTGCGTAGGTGTTAATAATTATTGACTGGATGCTTTTAGGATGAGTTACTGATACCGGAGTGAACGGACTTTTTTCTCATTTGCCAGAGAAAGTCAGTCAGTTATGTGTCATGCGCGATACACGCTTAGGCGATCATGTATCTTTCGATACATGACTGACGAGGCAGATTTTTTTTTTCTACAGTTGGTTACCATTTCTTTCTGCGGTAGACCAGTTGCCATCCAAGTCTATAGAACCTGGTCTGTTCTGCTATTTACCCAGCGGTCTATCAACGGCAGCCATCAGCAATTCTGGTATAGTCAAACCTGTCAATTGTTTGACATTGTCCAACCAGTTTTTGCGTTGGCGTCCTCACCTGCGACCAACTTCAAAAGTGCCTTGTATGATGTTCTTGCACAGGCTGTCATGCCTTGTGTGATGTTCTTGCACAGGCTGTCGTGCCTTGTATGATATGGTCTTGCAGAGGCTGTCGTGCCTTGTATGATGTTCTTGCACAGGCTGTCGTGCCTTGTATGATGTTCTTGCACAGGCTGTCGTGCCTTGTATGATGTTCTTGCACAGGCTGTCATACCTTGTAATATGTCCAAATCACGCCATTTTAAATTAGAAATTAATTGTAAATATTCTTTTGTTAATTCTTTTAAGAAGACAAAAGAAACCCCGATTCTAGTTTATTTATTTAGCGTTTGTATCTACATTTATGTATAATTTCCATATGAATGTCTTCTTGGCATACTTTCATTAGGTCTTTATTTAAATTAAAATCTTTATGTTTAATTATTACTGAAAGAAATACGATTCTATGTCTAATGCTAATGATTTTATTTTCTAAGTCAATGTCTTATCGGAGATTCGTTTCACCATCATCTTCATCATCATCATCATTTTCTTGACTTTGTACTTGTAGAGGGGAGGTTCCGACTGCAGAAGCTCCGCTGTATCTCCCCCACAACGGTTTATCAACGGCAGCCATCAGCACTTCTGGTATAGTCGTATCTGTCCATTGTTTGACATTGTCTATCCAATTCTTTTGGCGTTGGCATCCTCTCTCACGTCTACCTTCAAAAGTGCATTGCATAATGGTCTTTCACAGGCTATCGTACCTTGTAATATGTCCAAGCACGGCCATTTTTCTCCGTAAGAAAAGTAAAATCGCGTATATAGCCCAACTTAAAACCTTACTGGAAGTACACCACAAAATATATCGCTTATTCATTGTGACTGTTTTTCTAAACACGAAAATAGAGGTTCCTACAAAAAGAGTTATACAATAAATGTTATATATTAAGAAATGGACAAAGTTCGACAATTTATTTATTAAAGACATTTTTTTATGTTTAACGTTCTTTTTATAGATACAAGTATTTAAGTAAATGCTCTGTTTATAATAAACAGTATTAAATAACATTTACCGGCCTGAATGTCCGAGAAATTTTCATAGAAAATATTCGTTCTTTGACAGGATTCGAACCTGCATCCTATACGGAACCGTCATTTACGCTGACGTGCCTTACCGTCTCGGCCACAAAGGAGGCAAGGTCGAATTTACTGCTTATAAACTTCAATCTTCCATGAATCTCGTACATTCATAACTGCTCTGGCGTATCAAATGTAAACAAATGACGTCATATATTAAGAAATGGACAAATGTAAAGTCAGGATTCGCCAATCCATAAATGGAGCGGACGAGGCCGCAAGTGAATTTTGCCACACGGAATGAAGCAGCCACGCCAGTCGTCTCTTCTCGGGCACTGAGCGAAGCAAACGGCGCAGGATCTCTTTGTAGACGCGCTAATTGATCGTCTTGCCCCGGAACAAGAACTCACTGTGGACGATGTCACATCAAAGAAAGGATAAATTCCATTATTTTTCAGACAGGTCTTGTATTTTCATCCAACGTTTATTTAATAACATTTCCACCAGGAGCAATGGCTTTAGAGAACTGAGTTCAAACTTTGGCGAATGCAGTTTTCACTCATGTCACGTTGGGAAAGACATGAAACCATTTTTCCCTTCAACTACAGATAAATAGCAGGAGAGTTAGAGGAAGTCTTGTAATTATTACACTGGTCAACAAGATTTTTGGTATATTGTGCATCAGGGCAGCAACCCCTCTTTTATGCATGTTTCATTAAAGACGACTGACAAGGTACTGCGATTAAGGTTTTTATTTAAATATTCTTGTGCTGGAAAAGTGTTTTCATTTCTGGATACAAAGTGTGTAAAAACTGTCCCCAAATTCTTCGTATCCGAGCGCTTTCGGCTATTCTTTTAGCCGTTATCAAAGAATATTTTTATTTTTAACTGAATATTTGCGGTTTTTCATGTATACGCCTAAAGGTATAGGAATGTTTTATTTTCTAAACACGATCAGCAGATTCTGTCCGTGTTCGTAGCTAATGTTATTGAGTGTTGGCTTTTTCTTTTTTATTATTATGCTTCCGTTATTTTTAATCGTTTTTTTTTACATGGCTTGTATTTTCTACTAGCATGTTGCGAATGGAGTACGGTAGTTTTTCCTGAGTGTTTAAATGAGTACCAATTTAAATGAGTTCAATGTGCTTACATGAGTACTCAACTCGGTCGCATTTAATAAAAATAGGGAAAATCTAACACTAATAACATTGTTTTATTAACACCAGAAAATCTGATACTCTCAGGGTGGACAGAAGGAAAGTGGGATAAGGGAAAGCAACGCGTGACATACTCAATGGGCTTAAACAAGTGGATAAAAAAACAGGGTATGGGTTAAAGAACAAAATGATAACACTTATTAAGTGTCAGATGGGACAGGAAGAAGTGGAGAGCCATGATCGCCTACAACTTGATGGGACACGGAGTTGCAATATATATATATATATATATATATATATATATATATATATATATATATATAAGTAACGAAAATCTTGGTAATCCGCATGGATAATCTCCAGGAGGATTAAATCCGAGAGCTCAATCTTAAGTCAGAGCGAATAATTTAATTAAAAAAAAAAAACAACAACAAAAAAAAAAAACAGACCACTTTAAAGTTTCATTAGTTATAATTTATTTCACCAGAGATTTTAAAATAACTAATGGAACCATAATAAATTTATATATATATATATATATATATATATATATATATATATAAAAAAAAACATGTAGGCAGTGAATGGCCACGATTATAAGTTTCATGCGTTTGCACGCAACCATCAGGTAACTAGTAATATTTATCGACCACCCCACTTAGTAGGATTTGGCACAAGGCCGAGTTTAATGTAAGGCGAATCCGAGCACGTAGCATCGGCCAAAAATTCCCCGTAGATCCCGTACAAAGAGAGTCGGGACTGTCTACCTCCCAGAACGAGACTCTGCTCTCCGGGTTCCTCTCTGTTCGAAGGCAACAGCTAAGAGCGGAGCAGGCGGCCAGCTGCCTAACTACTTGAATATTCAGGTAGCCAGTGGCTGTAATAGTACGATGAGTACCCTATATACCCACCAGGCAAGTTCAATTTGACAGGCAAACCAAACACGCATGGTTGGGAGGGAAAATCATCCGGCCAAGATCTAAAAAGGAGCTGAAGCCTTAAACCAAAAAAGTGCTCCATTGGACCGGACAACCAAATTCACGCTAGAGAATACAAGAAAGAAAGAGCAGCTCTGAAAAGAATCTGGCCAAATATAGCCGACTGGCACGAAAGTGGCCAATGCCATAAGAAATGGCGGAACTTCAACATTAATTGAAAAACTAGGTAGGCAGGTATATATATATATATATATATATTTTTCGAAACTAGTCGAGAATCTAAATGGAATAATAATAAAAAAACGAAAGAATATTAATCTACAAACCCAGTGTGTCTAAAGATTTTAATTTTTTTTATTTTCTTATTGTTCAATATATATATATATATATATATATATATATATATATATATATATATACGCACACACACAGGCACTCATACACACACACACACACACACACACACACATATATATATATATACACATATATATATATATATATATATATATATATATATATAGAGAGGTGACGGAGAGATAGATAGATAGATAGATAGATAGATAGATAGATATATATATATATATATATATATATATATACACACACACAGACACACATACACATGCACAGACACACACACACACACATATATATATATATATATGGAGAGAGAGAGAGGTGGGGGGACAGATAGATAGATAGATAGATAGATAGATAGATAGATAGATAGATATGATGAAGAGTGAGGTGAACAATGTTTTCCGACTAAAAATATATCCTCTAATTCGTGACAGGAATGACATTTGCAAACACTTTCAAAGCCTTTAACGCTAAATTAACCACTTCTATATTTAGGAGAGAGTACTAAAAATTGTCAGTCACGCATGCGCCATAGCAGCTTGCGCTAAAAATCAACTCCGATGCCATCGTCACACCTGCTCCTCTTGCAGCAAACATTGCGTTGCACGTCGCTCACCACCCGCGAATACGCATGCGCACACGCACTACGCACTCCGCACGCGACAAATTCAATCACCTCTTTAAAACTGCTCAGTATGAAAACCAATTAGTACTCAGCATATTATTTTTTTATCTTTCTCTCTCGATCTTTCTCACTCTTCCTCTCTTATCAATATCCACCTCGCCGCCATCTTTTCCCCTCAAGCAGTGTTAGTTCCCTAATTTTAATTATTCTTTTACTGCAAGCCAGTTGGTTGTTTTTCGACGTTTTCTTAGCAATCTAACATCTTTTCTATTTATATTTTCGTTCTTCTTCGCAACTTCATTGTTTCAAAATTTATTCCACTATACAGGTCAGAACCTATCCACTTGTTATAGTACATATATATATATATATATATATATATATATATATATATATATATATATATATATATATATATATATAAAAAATACAGAAAAACAAACAAAATCTTAATATGCAAGTATGTAGTATTAATGTTAAAATAAAGTCGACGTCGGACGTTTCGGTCTATTTAAGACCATCTTCATGGACATTTTCATTTAAACATAATTAACATTAGAACATATAAAAATTTAACACGAAAAGACGATGGACATAAGAGCACAACTAATCCAAACAGATAACTGGAATTTTTATATAAGATCAGCGTTCCGTTTAAATATGATCACGTCGTCGTCACGTGGGCGATGTTGTTAAAACGTATTCGAAGATGATTTCCAAATATTAAAATATTAAAAAAGTCGATTGAACTATTTTATATAAACAGTTCAAGAAATCCCTTCCGTTGATATAGGAATTCCAGAGATCAATAGGTTCTTATATCTTCATATCTTGAATATAATATTTTGAAAATCATCTTCGAATATTGATACATGTTTTTTTAATCCTATCTAAGCTTTCGGCTTACATAAGCCATTATCAAAGATGACAATTACAGTTCAATATATTAAACAATACATGGAAAAAAAAAACAATAATGATCGTCTGTTTTTGCTGCATGAAAGATTTCCAAGTAACCACAAACTCGTGTATACGAGACGCGGAAGCGAAAATCGCACCGCAGCTTGTGACGACACACATGACCACGCGAGAGTGAAAACGAGAATTATTAAATATGGGAAGCCGTTGGTATAAACCAATGGCTTCTGTTGCCAATTACAGGCATTTAAGAATATTTGTGGAGATTTCATAGTTTACTTTGTTCAGGTTAGGTTTTAGCTGTTTTATGTATATAGCTTCAAGAAGTTTTAGATTTGTTTATTGTTTTCATGTTTAAGTATAGTTGTGTTTTAAACGAGGAATTTTCGGAATTGTGTACGCGGCCAGGTATGTTGTTTTAAATGCCTAAAAATGTTAGAGTTATCATTCAAATGTGTCAAGCGTCGTGAAAGCGAGTTTGTGGTGTGACCAACATAAATATTATTTAATCCGTTGGAGATACAATCTTCCAAAGGGCACTTGAATTTGTAAACTATGTTGTTTTTTTTTGCAAATCGCTAACAGGGAGTAGGGAAGAATCATTGCGAATAATTAAGTTGGATATACTAGATTTAGTATAGTATATGATTAACCTAATTTTTTTGCTAAGATCTGTTGTAGATACATTAGTATTTACAATTTTTTTGGTATGTTTTCATCTTGTTTATAATTAGTATGCATTTGATTACGATATAGGAGATTAATATGTTTGAGATTATTTGAATCAGTATTATGTTCTATTTGTTAGGTATTAAGACTTTTAAGAAAGCATCTTATTTGTTCATCAACTATATAGTTTGGAAAGCTATTATTAATAAGTGTTTGTTTTATATTCTTTAGTTCACTGTAAAAGTTTGTTTTGTGGATATATATATATATATATATATATATATATATATATATATATATATTGGGACAGCAGATCATTATTTAAACATATCTATTATGTTTGATCATGAGTCGTTGTAAGCTTCGTATATTTGCTTTAATTTCGGGAGAAAATAAAGACAAAAATTGTCCAAAAATTGTTTATTTTTATTTTATTATGCTGTTCCTTGATCTAACCTTTCGGGTCACATGAGCCATCTTCAGAGTGGCTATGCGGACATTCAAACGAAGATGTCCTCCATCAAAGACGATATTCTGCTATGTTGACATATAAGATTGCTATGCGACGCTAACGGTCGCGGAATATCATTTTTGATGGTGAATATCTTTGTTTAAATGACCGTATAACCAGTGAACATCGAGGCCAATATATATATATATATATATATATATATATATATATATATATATATAAATGGACAGCCAGGTCAAAGTAAGGTCCGAAGGTTTCATTCAAGCATGAAACAGACTGTCCCTGCTCGATGTTATCTCGAGGTCCACTTTACACACACACACACACACACACACACACACACACACACACACACACACACACACATACACATATATATATATGTGTGTTCATATATATATATATATATATATATATATATATATATATATATATATATATATATATATATGTATCTGTGATATTGAGCAGTTTTACCCATAAATATAGCATAACTTAAATCTATATTATATATATATATATATATATATGTGTGTGTGTGTGTGTTTGTGTGTGTGTGTGTAAATAGTCTCAGATGGTGTGGATATGTAGAAGAGTAAAAATAATAACAAAGACAAGAGGGGGGAAAACTATACTTAACCCACGCGTTTCGTCATCTGAAAGACTTTATCAAGGCAAATGTAATGATTTTATTTTGCAGCAAGTGTCCCTACACAGAAGCAAAATATTGTTAGTTACTGAAAATTTTAAATTAAAAGACGCTCCTGAATATGCATCAGGTTAACTGAAATGTTTAGTTATTAGACATTAAATTACGACACTTAGCATCTTCGACAAAAATGTTTTTCTTAAAAAGAATACTGTTTAGATAAGGCTTAGATTGTACAGGTATATTTATTATTATTAACACACACACACACACACACACACACACACACATATATATATATATATATATATATATATATATATATTGTGATGCCAACGAACACTAGCTTGACACTTTTGTAATGTCAACAAATACTCGTTGTCATTTTCGCAATGCTCTTTGTAGTAGAGACTTTGTAATTGCAGATAGAACTATAATACGCCGTTGAACAATATTGGTGTCAAACGCCGTTGAACATTAGCATTAATTTTACTCGCTCGATAATACTCTCCCGCATAGTAGCCCGTATAGTGATCCGAATAGAGAAATAGTATACCGAATAGAGTAGAGAATAGCGTTCCGTATAGTAATAGAGGAGAGATTAGAAAAGTTGATTCCTTAAACGCTACTTTCCACATTTCCGTTTCCTCTATGGTCACATGGTCTACTTAATTCAATAATGGGATCGTCTGTGTTTGCTAACTGGCGATCTACGGTCAAACTCAAGTGTCAGCATCGACAATTTATTCCCATATATATATATATATATATATATATATATATATATATATATATATATATATATATATATGAGCTTTAGATAGTGATTAGAATATGGTATGAGATGGACGTTTGTGTTAACCATAGTCAATTGGTTGAAATGATGGATTTAACAGTTTTCTTTTGATTTTCAATATATTTGTGGTTGTATACGTTCGATTGGGAAAGTAGTAATTTTTTCAGGAAAGGTGAGATTGGGAAAAAAAGGGTCATAGATTAATATTTTGATAATATGCAATGGCGTCACTCGAGGATTTTTCTTCTGTGCAAATTATTTTCACTATTGATGAGTGTGGCATTTTTTTTTTCGATGAAAATTGTGGTCGAACTTATTTCTGTGTATGTCTGTGTTCATAGATAGGTATTTTTTTTTTAATTCTGCATTTTTACCCAATCTATAAAATAAATTACCAAAATTGTTCCTCACACTATACTGGCGAAAACTTGAAAATATCTAGAGAGGGCGCTTATGGAAATTTTTGTACATAGAATTGTGATGTTTGTGATAGTAGTGTGTGTGTATGCGTGTGTGAATGCGTGTGAGTTGAGTGTATATTTGTGTCTGTATTCTAGTTGTCATTTTGTGTGTGCCTGGTGACTATTATTATTATTGTTGTTGTTGTTGTTATTGTAAAATCGCGTTAGTCGTGCAATTAAAGGAAAGGGCACTTTTAGAAACGCTCTTAGAAGTTCGCGCTGATGGAAATTGATTATTGATTATACTACGATTTGCATTTTGGCGGGAGATATATACCTTTTGATCTACGGGGACCTCTGACCCCAGTGGGTGTGCTGCTAGCCTTTTGAGAGAGTAAAATTTATAGACAAAAATATAGATAGAGAGACAAATAGATGATGAATAGGCTGAGATAGATAGATAGATAGATAGATAGATAGATAGATAGATAGATAGATAGATAGATAGATAGATAGATAGATAGATAGATCGATAATGAATAGACTGAAGATAGACAGATGAATAGGCTGAGATAGATAGATAAATAAGGAATAGACTGAGGATAGATAGATAGATAGATAGATAGATAGATAGATAGATAGATAGATTATGAATAGGCTGAGGATAGACAGACAGACAGACAGATAGATAGATAGATAGATAGATAGATAGATAGATAGATAGATAGATAATGAATAGGCTGAGGATAGATAGATAGATAGATAGGCTGGCTTCTCAGTAAGTACAAAAATGTACTCACTCTTTAAATGCGAATAAATGTACTGCATATTGACTTGCAAATAAGATTAATAGTTAAATTTAATTTAATTTAATTAATTCATAGTTCAAATTAATAGTTAAAATTATGAAATTTTAATGTTTATTGATTTAAAATGAAGATTAAGAATTGAAATCAAATATTAAATGCAAGCTTATAAATAATCAACGAAGTCAGAAAATGAGCATATATTTTTTTGCTTAGCAGCATATCAACACCTTATGGGTCATTTAAAGACGAAATTTAATTTTCTTTGAAACATTAGTAATTTATTTTACAAACCTATTTTTTATAATATATATATATATATATATATATATATATATATATATATATATAAAAGATTGTTGTTGTTACTAGAGGATAAAATTATACAAATTTATTGTTATATCATATATATATATATATACATTAAGCGTTTCACCCCAACCAAGGCGGGAAGCCACTAGCACGCAAGGGGTTACAGAGAGTTGGAGCGAGAGCAAATAGGAGTGATAGAGGAAAGGATGAAGAGAAGGATAGGGGATAGATCAGGGTATCTGGAGACGTCGATTTACATTACATTTGAATAGTTGGAGATTATAGTTGTCAGGGAAATAAGAAAAGGGGAGGGAGTTCCACAGGCGAGAGGTGCGAGATATGAAGCTATTGGAGTAGAAGAGACGGCTATATTTAACAGTTTCGACAGTGAAAGGGTCAGAGCGAGATGCCAGCCTAGTTGAACGCTTAAATTCATGAAGTCTGGGAACCAGTGAAAGCAGCTCATCGGAGCAGTTGCCATGAAAGTATTTGTAAAAAAGACAGAGAGGGGCGGCGGCACGTCTGTGAGAGAGTGACTGCAGACGAGATGCCAGATCAGGGCCAATTACATTGCATATCCGTCTCTGGATTTTATCAGGGACCTTGAGAGAAAACAGAAGGGGCTCCAGACCATATATGGCAGCAATATTCCATGCAAGGGTGAATGGTTGATTTGTAGATTTGAAGGATCGACTCCGGCGAGAAAAATTTCCTGGTGCGGCATAGGGAGCCAACTTTCCTTGCGGTGGATGAAGCTATTAACTCAATGTATTTGTTCCATCTCAGGTCAGCAGTCAATGTGAGACCGAGCATATATATATATATATATATATATATATATATATATATATATATATATATATATATATATATAATTTAAAAATCTTAAACACCAATATTCCATGGTCACAAATTATTCCAAAAAGAATCGTTATTTTAATCCAATTTTATCATACCTAAAATATATATAAATACAAAAATAGAATATTAGTGTTTTTATCTTATTTTTTATCGGATATATATATATATATATATATATATATATATATATATATATAGATAGAATAGATAAAATATATCCTAAAGATAGATAGATAGGTGTTTTATCGAATCTTCCCATCGGATTAGTAAAGCCGAGTATATAACACCAATAAAATACGTAAAGTGCTCAATATGTAGTGTTATTTGAATATATATAAAATAAATCCTAAATATATCATATATATATATATATATATTTCATTCCTAAACGAATCTTCAGGGTAAGCTCTAAATTCTATTTTTTACAGGAGTTTCTGTTTTCGTTGGTATTTAATCCTATGAATTGGACATACTTCCAAAATAAATGATCCATGAAAATTAGTGTTTAATGTTTTTATTATTGAATATATATATATATATATATATATATATATATATATATATATATATATATATATATATATATATTGCTGGTAATTATTCCTCCCAAAATATACAAGGTAACCAAAAAGTTATCTCATTTTTTGATTAGTCATCGAATGAAGTTGAAATATATACAAAATGTATTCAATTTTTTCAAATTCGGACAGCCTGGAACATTCAGACGTTTTAATTTGTGAGGTCTGATGAAAGCCGGACAGGATGGAAGTGTCTAGAGATCTCGTTCGGGGCTGTATGATTTACGACTTCAAAGTGGGCTTATCAGCAGCTGCATCAAGTCGCCGCATATGTCAAGCGTTTGGGGATAGTGCTGTGGACGAACGTACTGCAAGGCGTTGCTTTCGAAAATTCAAGTCGGAAGATTTGTCTCTCCATGATGAGCCTCGCAGTGGACGACCACAGGTCTTGAATGATGGAGTCCTGAAGGCGGCCATTGAAGAGGACAGTATTCTAACGTGTGCTGAACTTGCAAGACAGTTCAACGTTTCCGATGAAACAGTTAGACTTCACCTGCACCGTCTAAGTAAGACGTACAAACTGAGCAAGTGGGTTCCGCAAACGCTGTTGGAGGCCCACAGGGGACAACGTGTGGCAGCCTGCGTATTGCTGCTTTCTCGTCACCGTACCGCATCCTTATTCAATCGAGTGCTTACCAGTGTGCAAAAGTGGGTTCTGTACGAAACTTCCAAGCGTTCCAGACATTGGTTGTCTCCTTAGGATGCTGTCCCTCACACCGCAAGACCGCCTATGCACCCACGCAAGATTATGCTTTGTGTATGGTGGACAGGTCGTCAAGTGGTTCATTATGAACTGCTACCAACGGGCCAAACGGTCACTGGAGACCTATACTCGCAGCAATTAAAACGTGTGCAACAGGCATTGCGCCAGAAGGAGCCAGCACTGGTGAATAGCAAAGGTGTGCTTTTCCTCCATGGCAACGCCAAGCCGCATGTCGCGTGAGTGGTCAGGGATATCATACAGCAACTTGGGTGGGAGACTTTGTGCCATCCACCTTATTCACCTGACCTTGCACCATCCGATTACCACCTCTTCCACTCTCTGGATAATCATCTTCGTGGGAAATCCTTCACCAATGAAGCAGACTTGCGCAAAGCCCTCACGGACTTCATTGCATCAAAACCCTCTGAGTTCTACCGCAAGGGCATTGAACAGCTGGAGACACGTTGGCAGAAGGTGCTGGATGCCGATGGCGATTACTTCGAAGACTAAATATAAGTTACACATACTGTGAAGTGTTTTCTTTTCTTTCCTTTAAAAATGGACAGAACTTTTTTGGTTACCTTGTATTTCTTGTAATTTTACTATAAAAATGTATTTTTTTTATACTTTTATAGTGTTTTGACTCCAATTTTGAGGATAACTATTTGCCCATACAGGACCCTTACAGTTGCTACCACCCTGGGTTATGCGAACAACAGCATTATATAGGTGCTTCCACGTTCCTCAAAACCTCCTTACTGCCGGATGCAATTCATCGTCATACCCAGGATGAATAACTACATGTTTTCTTGGGGGAGGCACTGTGTATATAAGATTGTTTTCGCGATCCCTTCCGACAGAAAATCAATTAAAAAAATGGTTGATTTAGTGTTGCTGCAAAAACAGATCTTTTATTATGAGGCCAACTTTACAAATTCAAGCGCATATATTTATTAGTCATGTTATCGAAGCATGTTTTCCGGAATTACTTTTATCTTTTAAGAAAGAGAGAAATCAGTTTCGGATAGCAGAATGGGAAAAGCAGATTAAATATAGTGAATTTTACTTCGGTTTAGATAAAGAACTTTGAATGCAGGAACGGATCGTCGAAGGAATAAGATATAACCCTTGAAAGACGAGCAAATAGGCTATCTTTTTCATGGCGGAATTCTAGAGATGAAGAAGAGAGGAACAAGAGAGGAAAAATCTGTAGTTGTAGGTGATATTGATAGTTGATCGTTTCTGTGGAACCGGCTTTCAGTGCAGCCTATAAATGATCTGATTAGGAGCGACACCTACCGACAATTCCGGTTACTGTCACGAGACGCTGGAAGCAAAATATTTCTGGGTATCGGACAAAAAAACAAACAAAAAACCCCCAGTATTTTTTCTATAGGATTCGGTTCTACAATACTCAGATCTTTTTACCTGCTATCTTTTTTTTTTTACCCCCAAATATAGATTTTGAACTCTTCACGTCAGTTAAAGTTATTTATATTTTTATCGACGATATATTAATGGAAATTATGATATCCAAATCTATATAATGGACTTACAGAAAGTAAGAGAATATCAAAATGGAGGCAAATAAAACGAGACTTGATGATAATACGAGATTTGATAACAACACGAGATTTGACGATAACAGGAGATTTGATAACAACACGAGATTTGATGATAACAGATTTGATAACAGGAGTTATGATGTTAAGACGAGATTTGATGATAAGACGAGATCTGATGATAAGACGAGATTTGATGATAACAGAAGATTTGATGATAACACGAGATTTGATGATAACAGGAGATTTGATGATAATACGAGATTTGATGATGACAAGAGATTTGATAACAACACGAGATTTGATGATAACAGGAGCTTTGATGTTAAGACGAGATTCGTTGATAAGACGAGATTTGATGATAGCAGGAGATTTGATAACAACATGAGATTTGATGATAACAGGAGATTTGATGATAACAGGAGCTTTGATGTTAAGGCGAGATTTGATAGTAAGACGAGATTTGATGATAACAGCAGATTTGATGATAACAGGAGATTTGATGATAACAGGAGATTTAATAACAACACGAGATTTGATAATAACAGGAGATTTGATGATAACACCGGATTTGATGATAACAGGAGATTTGATGATAACAGATTTGATGATAACACGAGATTTGATGATAACACGAGATTTAATTTCATACACGTAACATATCATTTAATTCAACTCCAAATTTCGTCACTTGCAGTTTTCACTTGGGGCTTTCTCTGTATATCCGTCAGTCAGTTATGTGCCACGCGGGATACATGCTTGGATGATCATGTATCTTTCGATACATGACAGACGATATAGATGATTTTTCCCGCAGTAGGTAGCCATTTCTTCCTGCGGTAGACTAGTCGCAAACCAAGGCTACAGAACCCAGTCTGTCCTGCTTTTCAACCCATAGCTGGGAGGAGAAGAGATTGAGTCATAACCTTTCCCAAGGGTATTTGTGCGTAAGTGGATATAACTAATTCGACTGGCCGATACCCGATACACCACAAAGCACACCCGCTCTCTGATTATAGATTCTCGGGGCCTCGGAAAAAAAACCAAAACAGACACGTGACAGAAAGATGATATCCCATAATATGCATGGAAAACGGAATGACAACGATCTACATACGGGTATTATGTAAAAGGTTCAGTTCGAAATTCCAATTAAGGCAGGTGCCAGAAGAAGGCTAGCGATTAAAACAGCCTATATATATAGTCGGTTGAAGTTTATAAAATTTTTTCCCTAAACAATTTTGTCTTTGTGGGGGTTGTTATTCTCAAGGATTTGTCTATATTTCTGAGATGAGGCATTATTTACACTATTTTCATTGCTCGGACTATCATTCCTCATCTTTGTTGCCATATTTATCACAACGTTTCGACCGTTGTACGCTCTGGTCTTCTTCAGGTGGTCGGAATGTCAAACTGAACCCTTTATTTCGCTTACTGGGTTAGAATGTTCTAGTTTCACATGCCATGTCTAATGAATGTCAGTTATCTCCTGTTAATTCCCCTCGCCAAGTTCTCCACTGCCTTAACCAGGTATTGAACTCACACTCAAGGGCACATGGCACAGTGGACAAAGGCGTTATATCCAGTGACAGAACCCACAGAGAATGAGTTCTTCTGGTGGTTGGAATGTCGAACTGAACCCTTTATTTCGCATACACTCAATTAAGCTGGAAAATCGAATATTCCTTGATAATGGCTAAAGGTATAGCCGAAAGCGCTCGGAACTATAAAACATTTGGACAGTTTTTATTAAATCTTGTTTTATCTGTTTATATTTCTGAGATGAGGTATTATGTACACTATTTACATTGCTCGGATTATCATTCCTCATCTTTGTCGCCATATTTATCACGTTTCGTCCTTTGTATACTCCCGTCTTCTTCAGGTGGTTAGAATGTCGAACTGAACCCTTTATTTCGCTCACTGGGGTAGACTGTTTTAGTTCCATGTGCCATGTTTAATAGATGTCAGTTATCAGTTATCTTCTGTTAATTTCCCTCTGAAAGTTTTCCACTGCCTTAACCAGGTATTGAACTCACAGTCTTTGGGTTCTGTCACTGGATCTAACGAACGCCTTTATCCACCGTGCCATGTGACATAAAGGGTTCAGTTCGACAGTAAAAAGGATGTTAGTATATTGGAGACTATCAACTTTAAAACAAATCCACCCACACGCAACAAAATTACATTTCAAACCAGTCATAACATATTGCAATGCATTTAAACACATGATAAAATTTCTCTATCAACGGATCATGTATGACATCATAGATCAGTATTATGAATTTACGACCTGTGTCTTCTATTCCGTTATCATCGCATAGCAAACATCAATGTAAACAAAACAGTATGCCATCTTTGACGGTGAACATTTCTGTCGTACAGCCCTAATAACTATTCTGATGATGGCCCATGTGAGCCGAAAGCTTAAATCGATGAACAACACAATAAAGAAATATCTAAATCTTGGCTTCGAAAAATAACATAAAAAAAATCAAAAATAGGAAATCTTTTATAGAATTCGGCAATTTTAGGCCCAGCAACGTTAGTTATGATCTTATTTCCTGCTTCGTTCGTAATAAGTATTTACTCTGTTCCCACCACTTGGACGAGATGTGACACAAGTTCTATATTGAGGTAGGGACCCGAGCGCGTACACCCGGGACAGGAACAAAAATTGCCCTCAGACCCCGCAACCGTCGGTTGCGTTTGCCTCAGTGTGAGAACCGATCCCTCTCTCTAGTGCAATGGGAGGGCGCGGTCTCGGGCAGCTGTTTCCCAGGGCTGGGCACCTCTCAGTCCCCTCTGTCCTTTGACAGAGAAGCCCCTGGGCACAATCTGCCCAAGTACAGAGACGGAAATTAGAGATGATAAGCAGACGTGTACCTACTCAAAAAGAGTAACTTACACACGTAGTAAACATTGCTGTTGTCTAGCGTTTCACATTACTACAAATTAGTCGGGCAAAGAAAAAAAAAACAAAAAACAAATAAACAAAAGAAAACAAAAAACAAACAAACAAAAAAAAACAGTGGAATTATATAAATAAGTTAAAATAATCTATTGAAATAAATTTTCTTTAAAATGTACCGATTTATTTTAACTAAAGAAAACATAGTTAAAGCGTTCATACGACATTTGGAACGGCTCCTGATAAAGCGTAATAGAAATCCGTTGTCTGTTATACTTAACAATACATATCTGAATAATAATTGGCTGTACCTATACATTAATAATAATAGATATATAAATATATATTTTGTTCTCTGTTTATTACAACTTTGATTTTCAGGCAAGCTACACCTAATGACGTGGAACAAAACGTATATTTATTAGTAGTATAAATTTTACTTCTATTAATATACATCAATTACTCTTTTATTATCACTGGCATTCGCTATAGAATCGAAAACCATAGGAATCCTAGCCTCGAAAAATAATATTTTTAAGGAAATGCACATCGAGTAAAACAAAAAAAAAAAAATAAAATAAAAATAAAAATTAGAAATATTTTATAGAATTCGAAAATTTTAGACCCAGCAACGTTAGTTGCGATCTTATTTCCTGCAGCGTTCGTAGTATATATTGCAGTCGTCTATCGTTTCACGTTATTATAAATTAGTCGAGCGGTACAAAAAATATGGAATTATCTAGTAAGTCTAAATTATCTATTTAAGTAGATTTTCTTTAAAATGTACCGATTTATTTAAATTAAAGGAAATATAGTAAATTTAATGATTTTATGATAATCATTAATGACTATCCTAGAAGCCGACCTTCGGAGGGAATTAGGCTAGCTCCCACAGAGGTCGTTTCAGCCTTTCGCCGTTTATTTTCGGCGTCATATGTACATAAATGTCATAAGATTTTATAAATAATAAAATTATTTTATTTTTATTCGACACCTTAATTCGGCATAATCTTTCTTCATATACGCGACCGATCTCCGTAGTTTGTTTACATTTATTTTTGCGCGCAATTTTTTATTTTCTTTTAAAATAAACTAATCTTTATGATCCCTTCACATAAAGGCACTCTTAAAAGACATCCGGGAACCAGAACTATGTAATATTTCGAATACGTCACCTTACTCGTGCTAGAAAAAGAAAGAAAGAAAAACATATGAGCAACGTACCGTGCCCTACTTAAGTTTTAATTACTGTTTAATTAGACGATATCAATTGCAACTGCGACGGAAAGCGAAATTAAAGTTAAAACTTTAATAAAGAATTGTTTTTTTTTTAAATCCTTAACTCTGTTCGATATTTAAATTTAACTTTAAATGAGTTATTTAATTTTTAATCGCGTGTAGCTACAGTAGTTACTATCTGTTGCTTCACGTTGTTCATGATTCGCCGAGATCAAAAAAAGGACGGACGGACGGACACACGTACACTACGCTTTATTTATATAGATGATGTCTCTCTGTGGATTGACTAACGGGGAGACAAGCAGGTCAAAAGTATTTTTGACTGTACAACAAACACATCTAAACTAATACAAAACAATAGCCTGTTGAATTCCCATTTGTTAAATGAAAGTGTTATATTCTGAAAAAGATTATTAGTTACTAGCCTAGAAGCCACCCTTCGGGCGGAC